AAAAAATTATTGAAACCAATAATTTTGTAGATATTTACGTAAATATCTTAAAAAATAGAGGTCGTATAAAAAATTTTTTCAAGCAAAAGTTGTTTGCTTTTTTACGTAGAATAAAATCCCGTAATAAGAAATATGTATTTCTATTTACAAAAGCAAAGTTGACCTTGTCCTGACCTTGGCGACGTCATCTTAGGTCAAATAACTACTGTCATTAAATGCGACTTTTTAAGCCTTACAACTTTTATTCAAAACATTTTTCTCTAAAATGCTCCCCTGCCGAGTTTTCTTGCCGTTGCCGAACTTATGGGACACACTGTATGTTTATATACATATAGAATCCGAAAACAAATTCAGAATTTCTCCAACACCTTTGGTTTTTCTTGTTATGGTTATTTGAGACTTAATATATATCGCAAAAACAATTTTCAATATGTTTAAGTCATGGTATGATTATTCATAAGAGTTAAGGACTAAGTTTAAATCATGCCGTTGTAGAAGCTGGAAATTCTATATTTAGTTGGAGACAAGTATATGTTGCTTTTTTGCGAGTAACTATGTTAAATAATACTAGTATAGCATTCAGAACTTCGCGCGAACTTTCTCTATCTAATAATAAAAAAAACTGCGACACGAGAATAGTCTTCTTTCTTTTAAGAATTAAAAGAAAGAAATCGAACGATGTAAATATCTTGATGTGTATCTATTGTTTCTACATCTAATAAATTTAAACACTTTGTAAAAACAAATGAGTTAGTTACAGTCACAGTATGTAATAAATTGCAAAGACAATACACAGAGAGGAAGAGAGTTGCCTCGCCGCGCGCCGTCAGCGTCAAAACTTCAAGACGCTATCGCGGCGGTCAGCGCGAGCTGCGTTACCGCTCAGCCTCGACGCACACAGCTCGCCGCGGAGCGTCTATAGGCCGCAACGGACGTGACAAACGCCAAACTTTACGCGGTTATTATTAACAAACTAGATGCGTTATCGCTAAATGGGAGAAGACTTTTCTGATCCTCTCGCTTAGCTCTACGCTCCTATGAAGTTGGTGTGTTACAATTTTGAGACGCGTGCGTGCGTGCGTGCGTGCGTGCGTGCGTGCGTGCGTGCGTGCGTGCGTGCGTGCGTGCGTGCGTGCGTGCGTGCGTGCGTGCGTGTACTATAATAATAATAATAATATATATATAATATGTATATATATAATAATATATACATAATATATATTATAAAAAATAAGATATTTTTATGTTAATAAAACTATATATTTTCTTCACTCGATTTGATATACTGTTTCAATTTCAGATTCGAAGCGCCGTTGGTACCACCTCCTCAAGATTACCACGGTGAGTTCTTCAAGGATGTGGCGGCCGCACTGGTGGGTGTCGGTTTAATTTGCAACAGCGAGAACACACCTGGTATACTTGCGCTCGACAAGGACTATAACAACATGTCGAAGTTTCTGAATCGAATCCTTGGCATGCCAGTCGACTTGCAGAATCGTCTCTTCAAATATTTCACCGACACGCTTAACGCCATTATCACGCAAGCGAAGAAAACCGGTCGTTTCGACATGGGCATTCTTGACCTCGGTACATCGGGTGAAAACGTGCGAAGAGTACGGTTGTACCGGTTTCTGCGGAAACACGCAACCGGCAAGGCGCCAACGGAATTACATGTGGTGCACGTCGAGCGTGGTATGAGTTGGTCCGAAGCCACGGATAAGTTTTCGGAATTGACAGGGTCCAAAGAGGGTTTCTATCTAAGCCATCAGATCCGTAACGGAAAGCAGACCGCGATTCTCGCTGTCATCGTAGATAGTGGCAAGAAGAAAAGCGAGAGCAAGAAAGATCAACTTTACATGGTGTATAGGTATGATGTACTCGATCTCTTTAGTGTGCATGGCTATGATAGCGATTCTTGTATAGTGACTATAATTATATTTATAAGTAACCTAAAACTAATTTAGTAACATCTGTAGAGATGCTATACTTTACGTTTACGTGAGCAGCGTAAGATCGATTTTATAATTCTCGATGTTGTAACTTCTAATATTATATATGTTGTATAGTATAATTATATCATAATTATTTATATGACATGTAATACCAGTAGTTACATTGGAAATTATTAAATCGATTTTATGCTGTTCATGTAAACGTGTAAGCTGCGGATGTTGTGCTAAACGAGTTTTAAATTACTATAAGTATAAATGTCTGTGTTGCTAATTACATTATTCTTTAATTTTTGTTTTTTGAAACCTAAACTAACTGTTTTGGATTATTAGGCCCAATACGGGACTACAGTTGCGACAGGAAACTCTAGGCGAATTAGAGAAAAAGTACAAGAAGATGAGCGCAAATGAGGCGGAGCCACATTGGTCGCAGCAATATGAGGCTTCCGTGAATACGTGTTCGCATGCTTACTGGAGTGGTAATTGTAAAAATACTAACCTCGGTATAGATTGTGAGGTGGGATTGAGAAGACGTTCCTATAATGTGTTAGCCGGTTCCGTTCTGAGCGTTTGGAGTCGTGTGGAAAGCATACTCGCTTCACGATCTGGACATAATTCTAAGATGCAAGTTGTACGGTTACGGACGGGTAAGTCTTTATGTTTTTCAGTTGATATCGATATATTTCTATAGAGCCTAAAAATAAAAATTTATTATTTTTTATTTCTGACAGATGAAGGACTGAAGATTGTTGGGACGCTTATTCCGAAGAGTTGCATGGAAGTGTTGCATCAAGCGCTTTCTTCTGACTCGGAAAAAACGGAAGAACTGACATTTTGAATATCAAATCGTATCGAAGGTAATGTGCTTAAAAGACTTCTTGATCATATAAAAAAAATCTACCTGTCGATATAATTGCTCAAAGGAACTATATAAACGTTTCATCCCTTGATATGCGAAATTCCAATATAGATACACTAGTTTACAGATATATTAAGTTTTTTAAAAACAAATTTTTTTTAACAGGAAAAACATGATTTACTTATTAAAAATTATAAATATTTAAATATTTTTCTTGAAAAGTCCTATTATTGAGGAAAAGTCTTGTTATTATATTGTACTTAAAGGGATGACAAACTTCAAACGTATAGAGGCGATCATCAAAAAATAGGAAACATTATCATCTGTTACCGACGTTATTAATTTTATGTATACTGAGTGGTCCACCGAAAACGAAATAAACGTGATTTTTGGCATTTAATCTAATTTATTCGAAGAACACTCGGACACATCAACTTTAGTTTCAAGGGGGACATGTTAATTGGCTATTTCCGTATGCTAACCCCATAAGAGGAGCTTATTTCATTATAAAAATTTTAAATGACAAGTGTCCAGCAACATACTATTTGAAAGAGCGATTAATTCGCTTTACAATAGTGTTTTATTTTTTTAATTTTAATCATTATTTCCCGAGTAATTATAACAAATCAATAAATCAAAAATTATGAAAATAAGTAGATGTGTAGCATTATTCTGTAATAATTCGTTATCTAAAAGTCCTAGAGACCTTACGTAACTCAACCAGCTTCTTTAAAAGATTTGCAATAACGTATTATCGAAGAATGTCATCAAATCACTGTACAAATGCTTCAAAATGTGCGACAACGTTTTGAACAAAATCTTTATTATTGTATGGAAGTTGATGATAGTCATTTGCAACATTTACATGTTGACATTAAATTGCTAGTTTAGTATTATTGGAGTATATGGTTTCCTCACAAATGTTATGTGCATTATTGCTTCCCATTACATTAAATTTTATTTTTATGTTTATAATTTTACAAACGTTAAGTAATAATTATGTATTTGGTTTTTTTCATTTTTTGTATTAGGTGTACAACTTTGCTTCCGCCGTTTTCCTATAGATGGCTTTAGCGATAAGTGGTGGTCGAAATAAATAGATCATAGACGTCATATAATAAACTTGGACATCTGTCAACATAACCCCATAGAAACATTAGTCGATTTGTGTCTGCACCATAAAGTTATTCTCGATTGAAAATATCAGTTTACGATACAAATTCTCGTCATTTGCGGGAGGTTTTAATTTTCTGCTTCAATATGAAGAAACCTGCAGCTGAGGCTCATCGAATGCTCTCAAATACTTATGGTGAGGCCGCTATTAGTGAAAAAACGTGTCGTGAGTGGTTTCAACGCTTCAAGAACGGTGATTTTGACGTCGAAGACCGGCATAGCGGTGGAAAAGAGAAGGTTTTCTAAGATGTAGAATTGGAGGCATTACTTGATCAAGACTCGTGTCAAAATCAAGAAGAATTGGCACGATCATTGGGAGTGACTCAACAAGCCATTTCAAAACGCCTCAAAGCCATGGGAATGATTCAGAAGCAAGGAAATTGGGTGCCGTACGAATTGAAGCCGAGAGATGTTGAACGGCGTTTGTTTGCTTGTGAACAGCTGCTTGAAAGGCAAAGATGGAAGGGATTTCTGCATCGCATTGTGACTGGGGACGAAAAATGGGTTCATTACGATAACCCCAAGCGCAGAAAATCATGGGGAGTTCCCGGCCATGCTTCCATGTCGACGGCCAAACCGAATATTCACGGCTCCAAGGTCATGCTCTGTATTTGGTGGGACCAGCTCGGCATAGTGTATTATGAGCTGGTAAAACCGACTGAAACAATCACAGGCGATCGGAATCGAACGCAATTGATGCGTTTGAGCCGAGCATATTGAAAGACAAACGGCCGCAATACAACGAGAGACACGATAAAGTGATTTTGCAGCATGACAATGCTCGACTCCATGTTGCGAAAGTGGTCAAGACATACTTGGAAACGTTGAAATGGGAAGTCCTACCCCACCCGCCGTATTCTCCAGACGTTGCTCCCTCTGCCTATCACTTGTTTCGATCAATGGCACACGGCCTGGCTGACCAGCATTTCCGGTCTTATGAAGAAATAAAAAATTGGATCGATTCGTGGATCGCCTCAAAAGATGACCAGTTTTTTCGACGCGGGATTCGTACGCTGCCCGAAAGATGGGAGAAAGTAGTGGCCAGCGATGGACAATACTTTGAATCATAAATGTATAACCAATTTTTTACAATAAAACCTCGAATTTCGGAAAAAAAAACGGCGGAAGCAAAGTTGTACACTTAATATTTTTGTTTGAATTTAGCGTCTCTAGGATCTTTAGATGACGAATTACAGAATGATGCTACACATCCACTTATTTTCATAATTTTTGATTTATTGATTTGTTATAATTACTCGAGAAATAATGATTGAAATTAAAAACATAAAACATTATTGTAAAGCGAATTAATCACTCTTTTAAATGGTATGTTGCTAGACACCCTTTATCATTTAAAATTTTTATGGTGAAATGAGCTCCTCTTATGGGGTTGAGGTTTGGCATACGGAAATAACCAATTAACATGTCACTCTTAAAACTAAAGTTGATGTGTCCGAGCGTTTTTTGAATAAATCAGGTTAAATACGTTAATCTAATAAAAATCACGTTTGTTTCGTTTTCTATAGACTACCCTGTATGTATAGTCAAAACCCGTAGCACGGACACTTCTAGGATTGATTGATCAATCTACAGAACAACTAAACGTTTTGAACAAAGCCCGAAATAGTTTTGTGTTTCGACTTTTAACTGACGTGGTTGGTTAAAGTTAGAAACTAAAAAAATTACGTTAAAATTCCTGTTTAGAGGAGGCATCTCCAATAATCATGTCCTTATATTGTAAATATATTATAAAGATCGTCTTGAGTAACCTTCAACAGGTCTTAGTCGTTGTTCGTTATTTATCAAAAAATTATTAACAAAAGAAGTTTCATAAATAGAATATAATTTTTCGATATTGTATTGAAAGTGGGAGGCTTCGCCTTGCCTCCCATCCCGCTTAAATTTAACCTAACCTAGTCCTACCCTACTATGAGAACGTTGGTTTTCTTAAAATATACTTGTATAAATTTACATTTTTTAGCAACCAACATTGTCACAATACTGTTGTAGGATAAGATTAGATTAGGTTTTTAATCAGGCGGGGAGCGAAGCCCGAAACAGAAAACTATTTCGGGCTTTGACCAAAACGCTTGGTTGTTCCGCAAATTGATCAGTCAATCCTAGGAGCACCCGTGCTACGGACTTTGACTACACACACACACACGCACACAAATCTTTATAGAATAAAGACGATCGTTAAATAAACGCTGATACGATTATATTACCTTTTCAACGTATTTTTTCATATATGCATCATAGATCCTATATAATTGTGAATGCAGTCTTTCCGATACTTGTATTCTCTTTAAAACATGCTTTTTCTGATTGATTTAGTCAATCCGTCGTTATATATTTTATACATCAATATAAAAAAAGTTTTATGGAAAAACGTTGTATTAAAAAGAAAGCATTATTTCGAGGTAAATATTACCTAATATATACACTTGATAGATATAGAAGAATTTCTTAAATATGAAGATCAACTCTGGTTCTTTGAAAGGAATAGTATATAGAAACTTTGTGCGTACAATTGCGCGCAGAGTTTCTCTCTGATTTTCCATAGATTAAAATTATTTCCATTTCCTCTTCTAAATTAAACATTCTTGATATGACAGACACTAATGGTACTCTGATGTAGTATCAACAGCATACTAAATGATTTTCAATTTAACTTGGTAGTCTCTATCGGAACGTTTTTATTCAAAGTATGTTTACAAACATTCATGCACAGTTGTACGTGGAAAGACATTTTGGCCGTCGCTGTTCATCCAAAGCTACTTTTGATAGACTGGTTCAATTATTCTGTCAAATAGGCAGTATTGATACATCAGAAAGAAATCGTGCTAAAAACAAAACTTAATGAAGAAACAAAAATAGGTCATATTTAAAAATTTGTCAGGAAAACAGCATCTGTCAGCAACAACATATTTTAGACAGAATGTAAATATTAGCAACATAGCACAGATATTTACATAAAATCTGTGTAGAAAAGATATATGTGGAAAAATACGAGAAAAGGATAGCGTGCACATGTCGATATGTATCAAACAAAACTATCACTTCTTTATTCGACATATCCAAATATTTATTTGAATATTATTTTTTTTACATATCCAAAGAGTATTTATTTGAAAATTTTCCACCTTCAGTATTTTCTAAAACAGCGCTGAGAATTAATTGCACATTTTGGGCAGATTTCGGAGGCAACGCCTATTATTCCTTCACTATTGCTCCAAACTCGATGGCCGAGCCGCCAGGAATATTTCTACATATGAAATATGCTGGGACTTTCCATCTAATTGTCATTAAAATATTTTTCTTGTTCAATAATCCTTATTTTCATAAATAATTTAATATTACATTTTTTATTGTAATATATTCTATAATAACATTCTTTATTATAATATATTTTATTGTAATATATTTATTTAATATAATAATATAGTAGTAACAATAATTGAGAATTTTAATATGATTGTCACTACTATATATTGTTATAGAAAAAAATATATATATGTACAGAATACATTACAAATAAAAAATGTAGTACTCATTTATGAAAATAAGAATTATTAAGCAAGGAAATTGTTTTTATGACACTGTTTGACAAAAAGTATAATTCCAACATATTTCTTATATGAAGACGCTCCTAAGACAAAAGTCTCACGCGCAATTGGTAGCTCAACTGTTGAGCTTGAAGCGGCAATGGGGAGATAGTAGGCGTTATCTCAGAAATTTGCGAAATACGCAACTAATTCTCAATACTGGATTTTAAAGGGGGGCATATGACCTTAACTATGTAATTTACGATTTTCAAGAACATTTCAAGATCAACTTTTTTTCTTAAATTAAAAGATATTTTCCATTGTAGAACTTGAACAAATAGAAAATTTTGCGTCCGAATTTTTTTTAAACTTATTTTTTTAATGTTTTTTTTTTTTCATTGAAAAAAATATTAGAGAAAGTTAAAATACATACATGCCTTGTAACCTATATGTTTGAACGTATATACGTGTGTGTGAAGAAAAGAGGATAAAGGAAGAAAGAAAGAAGAACGATTATAGTTTTTTTTAGTCATTCATAAATCATTCTCAAAGTCCACCATTTTTCTCCATACACAAATAAATTCTGCTTTTGGATTTTTGTCTTATATTCTAAAAAATTTCTCAAGACATCGACTTACAAGCTCTAGTTATTCTATTTTTTAAGTCTTTAATATTTGTTTATTGGAGTTTTGTAAACGACTGATTTAAATGTTCTCATAAAAGAAAAAATTAAATGACAAATCACGAGACTTTGGCCACTCGCTAGTCAATGATCTACAAGTTCATCTACTACGATATTTGTCATTCAACAACTGACACTACGTAATAAAGGGGAGCCCATTTTGCTGGAAATGTATCAAATTTTTATCTAAATTCATGTACCCTGCTCATTTAATTGATTCTTTAATTCTTGCGTAATAAAAAAATCAATCAAATTTTCAAGCGTATCTAAATAATAATGGTAATTTCGCCATTTAAGTTCGTCTCCAAAAATAAAAAAACTAATAATAGTATTATCTAAGATATCTAATATAATAAAAAATTACTAAATTTTCAATTAATAATTAGTTAGATAATTCGTTGAATGTTTGAAAATTAATTGAATGTTTTAAAAAAGAAAATTATGACTTGCATTTATTTTTTGGGTTTAATTGTTTATTATTTTTGTTGTTAATTACATTTACCTATTCATATATTTACTTTTTGTGGCTATTGAGTGCGGTCTACTCTGATAATGTGAGGATTTTTCTCACTCTAGTATCGATAATTATGTCTATTCACTAAACTATTTAGGAAAAAAAAATATATTCATCAGATAAACAAACGTTTTTCAGAAGTCTAAATTATTTGAAAAAAATAAGGCCATTAAGAGTCAATTCTGGATGTTTTTTGTAAATGTCTATGATCATTATTATCCTCTTCATCATAGACATTTGCAAAAAACACCCAGTATCGGCTCTTAATGGCCTTATTCCTTTCAAATAATTTAAATATTACTTATAGAAAGTCTTAAGATATTTATTTCGTTTTTCAGAAGATTTGAATTCTGAATAATAATCTCAGATATTTTTTCATCAATGTTTGGTAAATTTGCATTTCGTAAAGATAAAACTTATTTTTCTTTATTAAAACATATTAATAGTACAGAGTTGCTACAGACTTGGAAAACCAAGAAAACCGGGAAAAGTCATGGAATTTAAATTTGTCATGGAAAACTGGGATATGTAAAAGAAAAATAAAAAAAATTACCTGGAATTTTGGCCTTTCTTTACAATTCTTTGAAATTAAGGTAATCCTCCTTGGGTTATAAAAGAAAAATACACAATTTTTAGACACTTACTAAATCTAGGGTCACTAGGGATTTTATTAAAATGCCAAGTTTATTTTATTTTTATTTTAACGTTAAAAGTTTATAGGTATAGTATAGGAATTCAAATATTATTTAAAAAATGAATAAGATTTTCTTACAAGGGGACCTCGCGAACCCGAAAATTCAGACTTTAATGAAACTTTGCACAAATGTAGGCTAGATAAATAGATAAATTTAGGTAATTTCAGTTCGTGCTAAAAAAAACTGTTCGAAAGGTGAAAGTACCCTTTAAAGATACAGAAATTTTAGATTTTTTCAATATATTTCGTAAACTAAATGAAATATCAAAAAATGTTTTATACAAAAGTTTTATAGACAATTTTCTCTATTTAACTGTCAGTTATTAAAAAAAAATTTTTTCAAACAATTTTTCATATAAAGATTTTATAGTAAAAATATCTTTATTTAATTATGCCACTCATTTTTTTAAACAATATTTTTTTTAATTCATCCTTTGTTTCTATATGAAAATGTATCTATTGCGTTATGATATTATAAGTTTATTATCAAGTTATTAAAAAAAATTTTTTTTTTAATAAATTCATCCTTTGTACTCCCTATGTAATGCACTATCAATCGTGTTAAAATTCTGATTTTAATAAAACATGATATAAAAATGTAGGTTAAATAAAGTCAATAATTTATAAAACTCTTTAGTTGATGGTAAAACATGTTTTGAAAGGATGAAATCACCCTTCAAAAATAGAGGCTTTCGATTTTTTCAATATATTTCGTAAACTAAATAAAGTGTCAAACAATTTTTCATATAAAGATTTTATAGTAAAAATATCTTTATTTAATTATGCCACTCATTTTTTTAAACAATATTTTTTTTAATTCATCCTTTGTTTCTATATGAAAATGTATCTATTGCGTTATGATATTATAAGTTTATTATCAAGTTAAGATAAGTCATATTATATTCTATATGTATCCCTATTAATAATTATATTAAAGCATAAGAAGGTCCATTGTTCAATTATGAGCGATAGGTTTTTATGAATATATAATATCATTCTTACACTGCACACATATTTGTTACGTAAAATAAATAATATATATTGTCAATGTTAAACATCAAAATGATAATTGCATGATAATTAGAAGCTATATGATTATTCTTACATTGCGCATACAGTTGTTACGTAAAAAATAGTTTACCAATATAATAAAAATTAAATGTGTTGTATATACATAAAAATCTGTCGAGCTAATAATTGAATAATGAATCTTCTTATGCTTTAATATAATTATAAACAGGGATACACGTGAAAAGAACATGACTTATCTGAACTTGATAATAAACTCATAATATCATAACGCAATAGATACATTTTCACATAGAAACAAAGGATGAATTCTTAAAAATATATATTTTTTTTTAATGAATGGCATAATTAAATAAAGATATTTTTACTATATATAAAACCTTTGTATAAAACATTTTTTAACTCTTCATATATATACTTTATATATATATACTTTAC